TCATCATTCTGTTCAGTTGGGTTATGCCTATTAATCCCATCCCTGATTTTACACTGATAAACTAGCACTTATCCCCAGTACTGGCACATACTAAGTGAAAATATAGAACTCTATCATGTCAGATGTCACAGCAGCCATTGTAGATACTCCTTGTTTTCTGCTGCCCTGGAGACTAGGACACAGAAAAATGGTTTCAAATGACAGGAAAGGAGATTCCACCTGAACATTAGGAAGAACTTCCTGACTGTCAGAGCTGTTCAGCAGTGGAACTCTCTGCCCCGGAGTGTGGTGGAGACTCCTTCTTTGGAGGCTTTTAAGCAGAGGCTGGATGGCCATCTGTCGGGGTGCTTTAAATTCGATTTTTCTGCTTCTTGGCAGGGGGTTGGACTGGATGGTCCCTGAGGTCTCTTCCAACTCTATGATTCTATGATATGTAAAAGTATTCACCTTGTTTACATGGATGGGTCTGGATTAGTCTACTTATCTTTGGTTTTTACTTACACTTTTTTTTGTCGTGTCAGTTGATAGAGTATGAAATATGGGTTGCATGAATAGGGCTTATTTCTTCTTTTTATATGGACATTCGACTTCTGTGAAGGCTTCTAAGAATGTATTAGTATTTTTTTACCCAGCTACATCATATCATTAGTTCATATTCTGCTTGTTCTCAACTGGTGGTGCATCTACACTGTCGGATTAATGCAGTTTGATACTATTTTAACTGCCATGGCTCAATGGTATGGAATCACCAGAGTTTTAGTTTTTCAGGATCTTCAGTTTTCTCTGTCAAAGAGTGCTGGTGCCTCACAAAACTACAACTCCCAGTGTAAATAAACACTAAGACATGTAGATGCTTTCTTTATCTAGTCCTAACAATCTGGATACTTCCATCCCATGCTTTCATTCTTGCCCCTTTTCGTTACGTAAATTCAAGTTTTTACATTTCTTTCTATGGCAGTGTTTCTCAACCTGGGGGTTGGGACTCCTGGGGGGTCTCAACCTGGGGGTTTCTCAACCTGGGGGTTGGGACTCCTGATTGCAGAGGGGTCACCAAAGACCATCAGAAAACACAGTATTTTCTGTTGGTCATGGGAGTTCTGTGTGGGAATTTTAGCCCAACTCCATCATTGGTGGGGCTCAAGGGGCTCTTTGATTGTAAGTGAACTGTAAATCCCAGAAACTACAACTCTCAAATGTCAAGGTATATTTTCCCCAAAGTCCACCAGTGGTCACAATTGGTCATACTGAGTATTCGTTCCAAGTTTGGTACAGATCCATTATTGTTTGAGTCCACAGTGCTCTCTGGATGTAGGTGAACTACAACTCCAAAACTCAAGATCAGTGCCCACCAAACCCTTCCAGTATTTTCTGTTAGTCATGGGGGTTCTGTGTGCCAAGTTTGGTTCAATTCCATTGTTGGTGGAGTTCAGAATGCTCTTTGATTGTAGGTTAACTATAAATCCCATCAACTACTGTAGGTTAACTATAAATCCCAGCAACTACAACTCCCAAATGACAAAATCAATACCCCTCCCAACCCCACCAGTATTCACATTTGGGCCTATCAGGTATTTGTGCCAAATTTCTTCCAGTGAATGGAAATACATCCTGCATATCTGATATTTACATTACAATTCATAACAGTAGCAAAATTACAGTTATGAAGTAGCAACAAAAATAATTTTATGATTGGGGGTCACCATAACTTGAAGAACTGTATTAAGGGGTAATGGCATTAGGAAGGTTTTGGGAACCACCTTTCTATGGCATTTCACTTCATTCTTTTCGGACTCTTATCCCAGCAGCCTGTCAAGATCTGGATTCTGTCTTTATAACCCCTCACTTTGTGTCATCTCCTAATCTGATAAGCAGCACATCTCTGTTATGATGTATGTCAGTATAAATTTCAAATTATGATAACCTGCATTGCCATTCTTTGCTAAATAGAGGAGACAGAATTTGTATGCAACACTCTCAATATACAAATTGGTGTTTTAAAAGAGCACTTGGAAATATACCTGAGCACAGAAGATAATCTTTCTACATGGAAAATGTTTTTTTCAGTGTATAAAATAGTGTACAAGTCTAGTATCCATTATCTGGACTTCTGAAATCAGAAATGTTCCAAAATCCAAAGTACTTCCAAAGCAGGTTGAGAAGTAATATAAATTTATGTCCAAATAACAAAGGAATTAATTATGTATAAACTTGTAAAAGAATTGTTCTGTGTATCTGAGTTTCATGATCTTGGAACTATGGTAGAAACAGATAGATAAACATGCTATGTTTTATTATTAGATATTCTGGGCTGCTTGCAATGTTGCTTAGTGATGAGCACAGATCTGCCAGTGTGGGTGGTAAATACAGGATTAGCCCAGAGAGATTGGAGGTCAAATCACTGTGCTGCCATGAATATAACTGGCTAATTTTTGAGCCAGTTTTTATTTTTCACTCAAACATGCCTCAGATAATCTTTATAGAAACACTGTGACATAATCTTCACAAACTGCATTGAGATCCTTAGTGAAAAGGTGTGATGTGAAGGTCATGAATATAAATAACTTGAGGTGCATTGTCTGAATTTGAAAGTTTTCCTGTATAAACATCTGGAGAAGTGTTACTCTACATTGTAGACAACACAGAGTCAGCACTGTGGCCCCACCATATTCATGAAACTTCAGGCCCTAACTACACTGCCATAAAAACAGCATTATCTGGTAATAAAGATGATCTCTTAATGAACATATTTGAGGAACTACAGACTCTTTCACTGTGTACTTTATGAGACTGATATTGATTGCAGTTGTTTTATACCTGCAGCCATCATTGCATTTTACTGATCTTAACTGGGGGGGGGGGGGGTTGTGATGTTTATGTTGGTTGTTGTTGCTTTGCACTTTTTGTATTTTGCTTGTTTACTTTACACTTTTTGTATTTTGCTTGTTAGCACCCTGAGTGCTTGTGAGCTGCCCCGAGTCCCTCTGGGAGATGGTGGCAGGGTATATTTATTTATTTTATTTACAGCATTTATATACCGCTTTTCTCACACCTAGGGGGACTCAAAGCGGTATACTCATAGATAATGGCAAAAATTCAATGCCTTACAACTACAATATTAAAACCATGCTTTAAACATAAACCATATTAAAAACAGTACATCATCAAATATCAAAACTGTTATTAAAACCATAAAACAATCTCATCAGTAAATTTATTATTATTATTATTATTATTATTATTAGCATCATCATTATTATCTTTATGGGAACTTTGTTCTGGGATCTTATGCAGATACAGAACAGATAATCATGGCCCATTTTATTTTTAAATGGCAGCAACACGAATATGCATTCTCCAGTATGTCCGCATTCACATTGCTTCAATTTAATGATATCCATAGATGATCCCTCATGGCTGAGTATGATTGCCTTCCAAGTCTAAGTTCTTGGCAGTGGGTCTGTAGGTGACTATAGAGACCTATTCTTGATCTGCAAGTTCTTTCGCAGTGAGGACATCGGTTTCCAGATGGAAGGCAGTCTCGGTCAGAGTTAGCTTGACACTTTGAATTGTACTTTATATGTTTCTCCACTGATGGAATCATTCCAGAAGTTGAATGTAACATATGTAGACAGTCTATGTTTCGCAGCCATATAACAGAGTTAGGAGGGCATCTTTATACAAGCATCTTCGTATCCTTACTAATGTTCCAATCCTCAAACACTCTCTGTTTCAGTAAAAAAAAATGCTGCACTCACAAAGCTCAGACAGTGTTGTATTTCAGGACTGATGTTGACTTTTATGGAGAGGTAGCTGCCAATCTGCTACCAAGCACAATTCAAAGTGCTGGCTTTAGCCTATAAAGCTCTAAATGGTTCTGGCCCAGCTTATCTGTCCAAATGTATCTCCCTCTATGAACCACCGCAGAGTTTAAGATAATCTGGGGAGGCCCTGTTCTCGGTCCCACCTCCCTCACAGGTGCAATTGGCAGAGACGGGAGACAGGGCTTTCATAGTGGTGGCCCCTTGACTGTGGAACTCCCTCCCCAGTGATGTTAGATCAACCCCTTCCCTTCTGACCTTCTGCAAGAGAGTAAAAACATGACCAAGCCTTTAAAGACCATGTCAAATAGATAGACTTGGAACAATGTGCAATGACCATCGGAACGACCCAGATTACACTCATGGATTACATGTTTAATTCTTAATGTTTTGTTTTAAAACGTTTTAATTGTTTTAATGTACTTTTAAATCCTATTTTAATATTTATTTAAGGGTACATTGTGTTTTAGGGCATTGAATCATTGCCTTATGTAAAGCTGCCTTGAGTCCCCTCCGGGGTGAGAAAAGTGGGGTAGAAATATCGTAAGTAAATAAATAAGGTAGCAAAAATGGTCAACATTTTCTAAATTACACCATTAAGCTGTATTTCTGGCATTACAGAGGGATTGGCTGGCACCTGCTAAAAGAGCACTTTGGTTTTCTCAATGTTTAGTGAGAGGACAAGGTTTTTGTATGCTTCTGCAAAGGTGTTTAGAGTGGGTTGTAGGTCTTCTTCTGAATGAGTACAACAGACTACATTGTCATCAGCATATTGGAGTTCTGTAACAGATGTTACTATGACCTTGGTTTTGGTTTTCAGTCTGCTAAGGTTAAATAGCTTGCCATCTGTCCGATAGATGATTTCCACGCTGGTAGGAAGTTTCCAGTCAACAAGGGGTGCAGTGATCACGGTCAGTTGAAATTGCATACTGGAATCTGCTGATCAGAGGGTTCCCTATTTTAAGCTAGTGCATTTGAAAAACATATCGTCTGCTGCTGTGTTTACTGGGAAAGCATAGTAGAGTTTATTCCTGTTCAGCGGTGTGGAAGAGATATGTGATTGGATATAAACCTTGTAATCTCTCACACCAATTCTGGGTGAATGAAGCTCATCAGATAATAAATGTCTTGTTTGGTAGGACTCAACTGAGTGTGTTTCTTTTTTCATCTACTCTTTCACAGCTCCCACAGTTCCTGTTTGTCCTGCTCCAGAGTCCTGGTGGCCAGGTCCAGTTATAATTATTGCAGCATGCTGCACCACACCAGTGTTCCTCTTTCTAGTTTTCATCATTTGCTACAAAGCCATAAAAAGGTAAGATTGTATTCTGAGCGGCAAGATAACTGTTCTGTGGATGCAGTACCATTAAGATACTGCAATGTTGCATATTTTATCAAGCACTAAAAAGGATAGCTTAAGTTTTTCAGCTTAAGTACCCCATACAAAACCCATCCAGTGATTTTGCTGATTCTTTTCCACTGTCCTATTTTGCTTTCCTTAATGATTCATAAATTCCTCAGACACTCCGGCTTTAGTGTACTATTTGGAAGTTTGGAAAGAGAAACAGTGGAATTGGAATATATCCACAAATGTCAATTAATTGACAGGGGATCAAAAAGAGACAATGATTTTCTGGCACACTACACTTACTATAGAACTAGTTAGCGCCCAGCCTCATGAGAACCCTTTTGTTCAGTTTTTCGCATCTCTTTCCTGCCTGCAGCATCACATTACATTCTAATAGCTCCTTCCACCATTCATATGGTTATCTGCTCATTATGGCCATAAGCGACATCCTTCCTCCTGTTCCTCTCATTATTCATTTTTTGTAGCTGTAGCAGCAATCACAGAGCTCCAAAGAGCTGGGGAAGGGTTTATCCCTTCTCTCATCACTCCAAATTGTGCTTTTGCTGACTCGGAACTCTCTGGTCACTGCTATGATGACCAAATAATGGAACAGGAAAGGGTGACCATCCACCAGGGCTGTTGCAGGATGGAGTTAGACAGTTTAGGTGTCCCTTGGGTCAGTATGGAATATTGCCTCTCTAGTTGGCTCGTGCAGATGGGTTGTTAGACTACAAAGGCTTCGTTTTCTGAATTAGACTCCTAAGGTGCTACAAGATCCCTTTGGATACTGATAATTGGTTTTATGGACACTGCTATCTATGGACAAACCATCTTCTCTGATCCTGCATGCTCCCTACAAAGAACAGAATGACTCTGCAGGGCATAGCTTCTGAGGCTGTATAGTAAATTGGGGCACTGTTGAGGGAGCAAGGATATGATAAGTTGGGGCATTGTGGAAGAATGCAGGTATAAGGAAAATCTGTATGTCTGAGTCACTAAAAGGATTATAGACATTGAGGTTTTTTTTAACAACAACAAAATTAACCCAGGGGGTGCAGGCATATATTGCTAAACTTGCTTTCTGAAAGACCAAGAAGAGTTTGGAGCAAAACATGATCTCAAGAAAACTCTTCATTTTCCAGTTTCAGGACCTTTTCACCCCCAAACAGTAAAAAGTAATTGTGGTTTTTAAAATGTTCCATTAAGATAAGAATGAACACAATGGAGACTGGGTGCTGCCCCTAAGGTTATTTTGTAGCCTCCAGACCTCCCCAAAGCACACACTTCAAATTTGGCAGTATGCTGCATCATTGGATTTTGGAAGCCTACTACTAAAAGAATTTTTAAATGATCATTTTCAGATTTCCCCCGCCCCCCTGCAAACTCCTCATCCTTGCTTACAGCTCAAGACATCATGCAGATAACATAAGTTTGAGAACAAACCTTTCTCCTCCTCTGCTTGTATTTTAAAAATATTATGTCTACTTAAGAGAAATGGAAATCTGAAGAGATTTCACGTTTTTGTGCCCATGTGGTTGATCTAATAAGGATAATTTTCCAAATGTATATTTTTCATGGTGATTGCTAATTGTTGTTTACTGTTTTCCCATTATTAGTTCTAGTAGAATCTAGATAGACCGTATCTCCCCCTATGACCCATCTAGGAGATTAGGATTGTCCAGGGAGGCCCTGCTCTCGGTCCTGCCTTCTTTGAAGGACAAGAGACAGGGCCTTCTCAGTGGTGGCCCCTAGACTGTGGAACACCCTCCCAAGGGATATTAGATCAGCCTCCTTCCTCTTATCCTTCTGGGGGGGAAAGTGAAAATGTGGCTATTTGAACAAGCCTTCTGAATCTAATGCAACAGTCAAACGTGGAATTAGATGAAATTGAACACTGGAATGGCTCAGACGATTATTTTTGGACAATGAGATTATTAATGAAGGCATTGGTTTTATATGTTTTAAAAAGTTTTATTGAATGTATTTTTAATTCTGTTTAAATGTTGTTCTAATGTGTATATTGTCAGGCATCAAATGCCTGGTTGAAAGTCATCTTGAGTAACCTTCGGGTTCGAGAAAGGTGGGATAGATATATCATAAATAAATAAATATGGTTGGTATGTAGGTAGATACTTTAGAAAGCTGACTCTTAAAAATAACTACATTTTGGACTCATTTTATAAGGCAGACCATCAGCACAGTGAGTCACAAGATAAGGTTTAAGAGCCTTGACACTGATATGAATGTACATTAATACATTTTAAACAGTTTAATAAAGATTGCCAGAAGTTTATACCAGCAGCCAGACAAGTGTCTGTGAGTGTTTCCAAGTGGTGCAAGAAGGTGGTGGCCTTTTGCTATCATTTGCCTCTGGATTGAGTGTCAGTTTTGAAAAAAAAATTCTGACCTGTCATCTTAAAAGTTGGTATTATTATTAGGAGGACTGTGACTGGCTAGGAGCACTGGTGGTGGCAACATGACTATGGTCCATCCACTTTGTCAAGCCTGGACTCAGTACATTGAGCCAAAAACATCCAATCTAGTTGTCCAGACTATCCAAGTCTATGGATATGCTGGCATTTTCAGCAGTCTGGAGTATCCCCTGACTTTGGTCGAAGCATGCCTAAATTGGCTTAAACCAAACAAAAAATTAGCTGTGAATGGAAGGCTGTCATGAAGACAGACAGCCTTCCATTCAGGGTGAGTCGAGGGTTTTTACTACTGTAGAAAAAGCCCAAAGATATGTCAGAGGATGTCTGCAACACATAATGTGTGAAACTCCTTTCTTGCATGAAATTGGGACTTTTGAAATCTCACTTAGTGCTCTGAAGTCCTGCTCCATGCAATGTAGGATATTAATAAATAAAATGCCACTTAAATTGTTCAGCTTTCTTCTTCATGAAACATGGTGGTATATTCCTCTACCCAATAATAATTCTTGTAGATGTATTCAGCTTTCTGACTAAATAGTAGGTGATCTGAAGGAGTTATTTGCACCAGTTTTAATTTTGGAGAGAAATATAAGTGAAATGAAATATAAGTGCAATGATGGTAATTGTCACCATCACTATCTGATCTATGTTCTATCTTCCAGCTAGTTGGTACAGAAGCAGAATATTTCTGTAATCCTACTATTATAAAATTGAAAGGGACTACAAGGGCCACCTAGTCCTCTTGCCATGTAAGAATAGAAGTGACAAGTGGAGTGCCGCAGGGTTCCTCCTGGGCCCGGTCCTGTTCAACATCTTTATTAATGACTTAGATGAAGGGCTAGAAGGCATGATCATCAAGTTTGCAGACGACACCAAATTGGGAGGGATAGCCAATACTCCAGAGGACAGGAGCAGGATTCAAAACGATCTTGACAGATTAGAGAGATGGGCCAAAACTAACAAAATGAAGTTCAACAGTGACAAATGCAAGATACTCCACTTTGGCAGAAAAATGAAATGCAAAGATACAGAATGGGGGCCTGGCTCGAGATCAGTACGTGTGAAAAAGATCTTGGAGTCCTCGTGGACAACAAGTTAAACATGAGCCAACAATGTGATGTGGCGGCAAAAAAAGCCAATGGGATTTTGGCCTGCATCAATAGGAGCATAGTGTCTAGATCTAAGGAAGTAATGCTACCCCTCTATTCAGCTTTGGTTAGACCACATCTGGAATATTGTGTCCAATTCTGGGCACCACAATTCAAGAGAGATATTGACAAGCTGGAATGTGTCCAGAGGAGGGCGACTAAAATGATCAAGGGTCTGGAGAACAAGCCCTATGAGGAGCGGCTTAGGGAACTGGGCATGTTTAGCCTGAAGAAGAGAAGGCTGAGAGGAGATATGATAGCCATGTATAAATATGTGAGAGGAAGCCACAGGAGGAGGGAGCAAGCTTGTTTTCTGCTTCCTTGGAGACTAGGACGCGGAACAATGGCTTCAAACTACAAGAGAGGAGATTCCATCTGAACATGAGGAAGAACTTCCTGACTATGAGAGCCGTTCAGCAGTGGAACTCTCTGCCCCGGAGTGTGGTGGAGGCTCCTTCTTTGGAAGCTTTTAAACAGAGGCTGGATGGCCATCTGTCAGGGGTGATTTGAATGCAATATTCCTGCTTCTTGGCAGGGGGTTGGACTGGACGGCCCATGAGGTCTCTTCCAACTCTTTGATTCTATGATTCTATGATTCTATATATAGTTAAAGCATTCTTGAAAGATGGTCATCCAAATTCAGTTTGAAGATTTCCAAAGAAAGAGAGTTCATCACACCCATTTGACTATTGGAAAAAAATTCTTCTTGTAAATTGACTCAGTTCATTTTTTAGTCTCCAAATCAGAAAAAAAACAAGTTTGTTACATCTTCTACACGATGTCCTTTCAAATATGCAAATATGGTATTGGCTATGATTTCACCTCTCAGCCTTTTCTTCATCAACTTAAATATACTCAGCTCCCTAGGTCATTCCTCAAAGGATGACCTTTGATTATCTTGGTTGCCTTCTCTGGACACATTCCAGCTTCTCAGTATCCTTCTTCCAAAACTGGACACAGTATTCCAAGTGAAGATCTGACCAAAGCGGAATACGGTAGCATTACTGATTTCCATTTTCTGCACAATGTACTTCTGTTGATTCGACCTAGAGTTGCAGTTGCTTTTTTGGCTTCTATATCACACCATAGACCAGGGGTCTTCAAACTTTTTAAACAAAGGGCCAGGTCACAGTCCTTCAAACTGTTGGAGGGGTGGATTATAATTTGAAAAAAAGAATGAATTCCAATGCACACTGCACACATCTTATTTGTAGTGAAAAAAAAACCCCCCACTTAAAAACAATACAATAATTAAAATGAAGAACAATTTTAACAAATATAAACTTATTAGCATTTCAGTGGGAAGTGTGGGCCTGCTTTTGGCTGATGAGATAGGATTGTTGTTGTTGTTGTTGTTGTTGTGTGCTTTCAAATCATTTCAGACTTA